ACTGTATGTAACTCAGGTTGAGTCGGTGTACCTAGTACTGTATGTAAACATGGAGTTTTCGTTAGTAAAAGACAGAATTCAGTCCAGCCGGTAAAGGGAATATTTCCACAATAGAGTGTTTACCCATCATGCCCCCAGCACCACAGAAACACGCCAGGAACAGCCTGCTGTCGTGATGCCTAGCCATAATCCCAGGGGCAGCCTGCTGTCGTGATGCACAGCCATAATCCCAGGGGCAGCCTATTGTGATGATGTACACCTTTAGTCCCAAGCACTTGGGAGCCTGAAGCATAGTTAGGAGTTTGACGTCAGCTTGGCATACACAGTGAGATACTACCTAGAAAGTAAGTGGGGCTGAAGGCAAGTTCTCTACCATGATCTAAGACGATCAGAGACCCTCAGCTAGAGCATCGGACTCCATTGTTGGTTATCACAGCTGGGAGTGGACTTGCTACTGGCACGAGTGCTAAAGGGGCTGGGAACGATGCCTTGCTGTGGTTGGGCAGCCTAGTAGAAACATACATGCTCGAGAGACGTGCATTGGGTGCTTCAGGGTCATTATGTCAACTGACATGCATTCTCCGTGTGTTTAGATCATAGAGGAGACGGAAGAAAAGGCTGCAGATCGCCTGCTGTTTGGTTTTCTCACTCTGATAAGTAAACTCATCAAGGAATGTAACATTATTCACTTTACCAAGCCCTCTGAGACTCTGAGTAAAATCTGGAGTAAGTATTTTATTTAATCTAATAACATAGTAGTTGTCATAAAAGTATTGAAAGTACTTGAGGGCTGGAGAGATGGCTCAGTGGCTAAGGGCACGGACTGCTCTTCCAGAGGTCCTGAGTTCAATTCCCAGCAACCACATGGTGGCTTACAGCCATCTATAATGGGATCTGAATGCCCTCTTCTGGTGTGTCTGAAGACAGAGGCAGTGTACTCACATACATAAAATAAATAAATCTTTAAAGAAAAAAAGAAAGTACTTGAAATTTGAATAAGAACACTACAGAGAGTAAATAAAGTCCATAAAGAAAAAAACATAAAGGATCCCATCAGATTATTCCACTGAAATATTTCTTTTGGAAGGAAAGGGTATTTCTTTGTCACTAACACATTTTATTTATGAAACAAAGGATATTAATCTTTGAAAAGGTATAAGTTGAAGTGCTGTGTGGTGGTTTCTTTCATATGCTCCACATGTCAGCTCTTACACACACACACACACACACACACACACACACACACGTGCATACATGCTGCACGCGCACATACACACACACCAGATCTTCCTTCCTCGTCCCCTTTCCTTCCTGTCTTGCCTAGCTTTGCTAAGATGTGACCTACAATTAAGAACTCTCTTTGGGGGCCCTTGTTAATAAAAAGGAGTAGAGGGAGGGAGAGTGGGTAAGAGCTGGTAGGGCTGAAAAAAAAGTAACAAATTTTAAAAAGCTATTCCTTATATTCATTGTTCAAAGCATGGTTTGAGATCTGCACACACAGTGTATTTCCATGCAGTCCCTTTATGAAGTTTTTTCCACAGTGGCTTTGCTTCCTAGAGATGCTAGTGTCCTAGTGTATTCAGCCAGCATGTCACATGACATATGTCACATGACAGTACAGCTCAGTAGATGCCCTTTTCACTTGAGGACATTAAATTACTGTGTACTATATAGAACTCTCTAAATGCACAGTGTAACCCCAGAACTTTAACCTATAAATTCAGATTAGTCAGTATATGGATGTTCACACAGAATGCTGCGGTTAAATGACTGTCACATTAGACCTGTAGTTTTACCTGCCAAGAGCAGTGATGGGGAGAGGCCTTGTATCCGTCCTCTCACTGAAGCACTGAGTTCTGGTGAGGTGGGCCGGGGCCCGACTGCATGCCGCCAGCCTCCCAGGAGCAGCTCTTTGCTCTGTAAGATAGAGCTGCAGCCTCCTTCACAGTCGTGGTGGCTAGAGGAGGTCACCACAGCACACACCTAGTAGAAAGCGCTCAGAAAGAAATGAGCACTTCCTGTCTCCAGTTTCTCTTAGAATTAAGCTTGTATCTGTATACATGTTTACATTACTGATCTATACAAATGGCCTGAGAACAGCATCTTATCTCCCTGGTTCTGAAACTAGGTCCTATGGCGCCACTCATAGGGACAGTGGGGCTTTCATGTATATCTTCAGCATCATTTACCAGACAGTTAATGTTATAATTGTCTCTCTACCACTTCCCCCCGGCTTCTGTGGCCTGGAAAGCAGGGACAGTCATTTCCTCCCTCTCTAGCTCCTTGGTCCAAGCCCGTGAGAGAGGCTCCATGAGTGCCCCCATTCATGTCGCTCTCCAGGGAATCAGGAAAGCGGGGTGCCTAAGAATGCGTTTTGCTCTTTCAGGTCATGTGCACTCTCACCTCAGACACCCACACAGCTGGGTGTGGCTCACAGCAGCCCAGATTTTTGGATTGCTCTTTGCCTCTTGCCAACCAGAAGAGCTCATTCAAAAATGGAAAGGCAAAAAGGCCAAAAAGAAGACCTCAGACCCTGTAGCAGTCAGGTTCCTAACAAGTGACCTTGGCCAGAAGGTACCATTTTTTTATTTTTTTAAAGACCGGCTCGATGTAGCCCTGGCTAGCCTAAAGTCAAGCTGACCTGAGGGTTACTGTGACCTCCTGCCTCAGCCTTCCAAGTCCTGAGAGTTGAGCTGCTCCATGCCTAGCTTGGGTTTGTTGTTCCTTGTATATTTAAGGTTCAGTTTCTCTGAAACCGTTTTCTCCCCTTCTAACCTGAGTGAGATGTATGGACTGGTGTGTGGACTAACCCGTAGGTGGAGTATGGAATGTTTGGGGCTAGCCCATGGGTGGAGTATGGAATGTTTGGGGCTAGCCCGTAGGTGGAGTATGGACTGTTTGGGGCTAGCCTGTGGGTGGGAGAAACTCCAGCTGATGGATGAGTTGTTGCACATGGAATTAATAGTTTAGTTTTTGGGTGTTTGTTGGGGCTGGGGTCGGTTTGGTTTGGAGACACGATTTCCCTAAACATAAAGGAGTTGTGGAACTCACAGTCGTGTATCCCAGGCTGGCCTCGAGTTCATGGGGCTCCTCTGGCTCGGGTTCCTGGTGTGCTCAGATTTTAGACGTGTGCCACGTACCCAGCTGTTACACGTGACTGGGATTTTTTTGTTTGTTTGGTGGACTTTTTTGTTTTTGTTTTTTAATCACCTGTGTTGTCTGTCTGCTAATGTCTGTTTCTTTTCACAGATGAAGAGTATCACCCTGGCATCATGCCATCAGCTGCAGTCCAAATTCTTAGATGAGTCTCTAGGAGAACAGGTAAGAGTGTATGGAGTCATCTCAGGATACGAGAGCCAACAGCGTAGGCTTGCATTTGATATTAGTGTCTGGCATATTTGATAAAAGTATGTGTGCAGTCAGTTAGTTAGTTAGTTAGTCAGTTAGACATGCATGTCTAGTTGACTCTGGGGCCAATATTAGGATACCTCTTGGCTTTACCACCATTCCCAGTTCTGCTTAGTGTCCAAAGCTTTAAAGGAGTTCATTGATGGGTTAGGGGTTGAAGTACAACATGATAATGAATTTCCCCTCCACCCCTGGAAGTTAAAGAGGAAGAATGCTGTTCATGGTCTGACCTAAAAATTGATGTCCTTAAGAACAGATACATTGTCCCATCATTAGAAATAGTTTATGTACTTCCATAAGAGAAAATGTAATTATAGCTGGTATAAGAGCTCATGCCTGTAGTCCCAGTCCTGGAGAGGCTGAGGAAGGCCAGCCTGGAGTACAGGTCTCAACTCTTATCTTTAAAAAGTAAATGGTAACATGGTTCACTTTAAAAAGTGAACAGCAGTCAGTGCATGGCGCCGTGCTTACTGTCTCCGTCTGCTGCACCTTAGGTTAGGCCCAACAAGCCACACTTGTTTCTAACCTCCCCCTCCGCACTTTTAAGGTTGTTAAGAACTTACTGTTCATAGCGAAAGTTTTATATTTACTGGAACTTGAATCTGGGAACAAGCAAGGAGAGTTAAAAGACTCAGAAGAACAGGACACTTTAGCAGATGCTCTGGCCAGAGAGGCGGCAGAAGAGAAGGCTGGTGGAAAAACGGAGTCTGACAGAGAAGAGCCCAGCAAGCCAGCCACATTGATGTGGCTGATCCAGAAGCTGTCCCGAATGGCTAAGCTGGAAGCGGCCTATTCACCCAGAAACCCCTTAAAGGTATAGCAGCAAGACAACTGAAAGTCTTTGTTGTTCATTTGTTACTGTTGTCAAAGAAGGGGTCTCAGCTTACTACATAGCTCTGGCTGGCCTGGAGCTCTGCTCATCTGGAAATCACAGGGGTCTGCCTGCCTCTGCCTCCCAAATGCTGGCCTCAGAGGTGTGTGCCACTATGACTGGCCCCTGTTTTTCACACAGGGCAGTTGGGTGGGTGGGTGGGTTTTAGTTTTTGGAGAGGGGATTTCTCGATGTAGCTCTGGCAGTCCTCTAACTCACAATCTGGACCAGTCTAACCTCAAACTTAGATTTCTGCCCATGCCTCCTGAGCACTCAGATTAAAAGCTTGCACTGCTATGCCCAACCTGACAAGGGTTCTGACTCATTTGCCTGAACTTGCTTTATATCCTAGGCTGGTCTTGCCTCAGCCTCCCAAGTGCTACATTTAGAGGCATCAGTTAACAATATTTGGTAGTTTTTGGTTTGGGAGTGTTTGGGGGATTTTGTTGAATATTTTAATTTATTCGTGAGACTTTCGGATCCCTGGGATTTTATAGTTTGAACCTAATACTGCAACAATATCTGTCTCAAAATAGAGTGAACTCTGCTTTTCATGAACACTGCTTACATGACTGAATGTTGAGCAGAAACATTTCAAGTGAAAACACTGTCTTCTTTCAGAGAACCTGCATCTTTAAGTTCCTCGGTGCCATAGCCGTGGATCTTGGAGTAGAGCGGGTAAAGCCCTATCTCCCAGTGATCATCGCTCCACTGTTTCGAGAACTCAACAGCACCTATTCAGAGCAAGGTAACCCTGCCATCTCAGTCCTGAGGTCCGCACACTGGGACCCCTTCTCGCCTGGATGCTGGATGACCCCTTTCTCTCTCTCTTTCTTTCCTGCTAGAGTTTAAGAAAACAGTTAATTGGCAAACATATTTTCCATTGTATTCAATGAACTCTTTGTATGCTTCCAGTCATGGAAAGTGAATGGTGTGGCATTTGACTCATGAGGCAAATGGATCTTGACAAATTCAAGGCTAGCCAAGACTACACAATGAAACAGAGTCTCAAAAAATGTTTCCCTTGTACAAAATGATGACTGTACTGTCGGGCAGGTTTGGGGTATTCTAAACCTCACAGTGAGCTGGACAGATGTTGTGTACCTGCAACCCCAACACTTGGAGGCTCAGGCGAGAACTGGGAATTTGGAGTTTGCTTGGGCTACATGGGGAGAGCATCTCAAAAAGGAAAAAAAAATTTAGTTTAAAAATAAGACAAAGGAAGCAGATTTGATGTTACATCCCAGGTTTTCATATTTTGCTTATTCACAAATACCTCATAATGCAATTCTTTAAATGTGTGGCCTAGATAACTAAGTAATAGAAAGAAAATAGAACTTAGTATATGATTTCATTGAGATCTTAGCAATTGGTCCTAAGGTTCTTACACCTAATGCTGTGGAAAGCCACACATTTAGAGGACTGATTTTAGCTGTGCAGCCCAGTCCATCTTTTGCTCACTATACTTCATGTTCGTATTGAAGTGATACTCTTCAGTGCCCAGAATATTCAGAACAGTCCCTTTTGTGTGGTATACATCTTAATTCTCATGGTATTTGAGAAATAGGCAAACTCTGTGGCTGATTTGCATTTTATAAAGAGAGGGAGACATGGAGGGTAGGGGAAAATACAGCTTCTTAGTCTGTCTTCACAAAAAATGATACTCGGGGCACAGCTAGACTCTGACATGTGCACCAGAGGCCAGAGAAAGTCTTACCTCTTCCACAGCTGCAGAACTGAGCAGGCTCACAGAGCTAACCCAAAACACTGCCGAGGTCCTAGGTTGCGTGAATGTCTTCACACCACGTTCCTGGTGTCTTGTTGCATCAGGCTGTGATGGGGGCTACAAGGCCACGCCCTCCCATCTCGGGCACTCAGAAGCCAGTTTCAGATTTGTGTTGAATAGTAACAGTCATGACAGCACAGGACTTTAGATGTTACTTTGATCTGTGATTGCCTCTAATCTTTTCTTTCTGTGTGATTAGACCCTGTTCTGAAGAATTTATCCCAGGAAATCATAGAATTACTCAAAAAGCTGGTTGGACTAGAGAGCTTCTCATTAGCCTTTGCCTCTGTCCAGAAACAGGCTAGTGAAAAGAGAGCACTTCGGAAAAAGAGGAAGGCCCTGGAGGTGAGTGTGTGGCTGTAGAGATGGTTCATCTACCGGCTTACCAAGGGCTTTCAACTAGGGGATGCTGTGCACACGGGTGTGCCACTGTTCCTGGAGAAATGAGGGCATGGGAGGAGTATTTTCATTAATGACACATGTTCTGCATGTGATTTGGATTCTTTTCACATGTACTTTAAAAGTAATGAAAGATTTCTGGTTTCTCTTCAAGTTTGTAACCAATCCTGATATTGCTGCCAAGAAGAAGTTGAAGAAACATAAAAATAAAAGTGAAGCAAAGAAGAGAAAGATAGAGTTCCTGCGTCCGGGTTATAAGGCCAAGAGACAAAAGTCCCACAGCCTCAGAGACTTGGCAATGGTGGAGTGAGGTCTCCCTGTGTGCGTTAACTCAGCTGTCTCTACCAGGATGGAAACCTGAACACCCTGCCTTAGTGTACTGGGCTCAATGTCCAGCAGATTTTGCTCCTTGTTTTGGGAGGTGGGTGTGGTGGCTTGACACCCGTACTCTCTGGACTAAAAAGGCTCAGGCAAGAGGATTGCCACAAGTTTCAGAGTGCTGCACTGAGATCGGGCTCAAGCAAAAGAAATTAAGTTAAAACTTTGGCATAGATTTGTAATGTATATTTTATGTAACCATACTTGTATTTTTTAATTAAAATGTTTATATGCTACTCCTGTCTAAAAAAGACTATGATACTATATGACATGATTTAAAGCCTAGCTTTTTCAAAAAAAAAAAAACCTGATGTGGTATTGTAAACTTATCAGAAGGCATTTAGAAGTCTGTGCAAATAGATAGATACAGCCATGCTGGTGGGTTTTCCCAAGTTCATCCCACTGGTTGAGTACATATGGAAGCAAAACCCCCAAAAAGTTCACGATAAGTTAATTAAAGCCAGTTCTAAAACTTAAATGGAAGACAAGACAGTGAACCAACAACGCAAGGCACTTCTAGAAAAAGATGCAGTAAGGGCTTGTCCTGTGTCAAAAGACAAAGGTGCTGTCAGCAAAATATGAGAATTTCCACTGTACCACAAGCTTTCCTTCCAGATGGCTCAGTGGTTAACATTATAATTTATATTTTATATATAATTTTTTATTTATATTTGTGTGTGTGTATGTTTTAAAGGACCATATATATGGTTCTGTAAAATATATGTCGGTGGATAGAGTGATTTCAGTGTTCTGAAGAGTCCTGAGAAAGAAAAGGAGTCAAATCCAGTGTGTGGTGGCAGAGGCCTTAAATGGCACTAGCAATACTTGTAAAATGTTCTCTTCCAGGTTTTCAGATTTTGCTTACATGCAAAGATTTCATAATTAAAATGGAGCAAACAGTAAGAAACAGAAATTACTATATGGTTTCACTGAAACTCGCCCCCCCCCCCCAAGACAGGGTTTCTCTGTGTAGCCCTGGCTGTCCTGGAACTCACTCTGTAGACCAGGCTGGCCTCGAACTCAGAAATCTACCTACCTCTATCTCCCAAGTACTGGGATTAAAGGCGTTCACCAAAGCCCGGCTGGTTTTACTAAAACTTTACCAGTTGGTTCTAAGGCTAAATCTACCTCAGTCTGTAGTGACTCACACATTTAGAGGAAACTGTTTTCAGTTTTCAGCCACATCATTTGCTCACTGCACTCAACATTGAAGGAATATTCTTCAGTGCCCAGTGTTTGGAAAAACAGAAAAGTCATCCTGTGTGTTGGGCACTTGGCATACACCTTAGATCTGATATGATTCAGAATTGTTCCTATTTTACAGATGAAACAGACTCAGTAAATAAACTAAGAAGATACAGAATGTAGGTAGTAGTAGAGCCAAGATTCTAAACGTGTGCATTACCAAGTTTAACAGATGCATGCGTACACACACACACTAGCATTCAGATTTACGTTGTAAACATCAACATTTAAACTCAGGATTTATTTTAGCCTATATGATAAACCAACAGACTCATGATCAGATTGAGATGGCAGGGGCTGTGTCAGGCAGCATGTGCCTGCCAGACCCTATTTTTCTCAGTGTTTAAGTACTCAGGACCTTGAGACTAAGCCTGGTAGCTCTATAAACTACTCTTCTACCATTTCCCAGCTATGTGCCATTGACCAGATGGAAGCTAAGGTAGAAACTGCAGTGCCACTTGCCCACCTGATAAATATATATCCTATACCAACTTTAAATATATTTTTGCATGGTACATATTAGGGTGTGAGGAGTCCACTTATCTATGTGTGTAGATGTGAAAGTCATAGGTATTGACTTGAGTTCCATACCTGACAATCCACTGAGCCACTGCTGGCCTCAAGTGTGAATTCATTCCAATGCAATGGAATGTCCAAATAGATACTAGTATTCATATAAAAACAGAAGCCTTTGCCCATCAAAAAGGTATTCATCTTGTTTTGACTAGTTGTACTGAGAATAACTGGGCCTGGAGGAAGAGGATTCCTTAAAAAGGTTTCAAAGAAACTAAACTATAAAATAGAGGCAAGAAGAAAAAGGTTATGAATGCTGGTTACATGGCCACAGCTTCAGCACCACAAGAACCAGACATGAGGATTACTGTGAGTTTGAGGCCAGCTTAGAGCTTAGCGATCCCATTCACTTTCCCAAAAATGACCACATAGATGGTGGGGAAGGCTGGAGCCCAAGTCTCTACCAATGCATAATTTTTAAATGCCAGTTGTCCAACTTATTGAAAGAATTCTAGTGTTAGTAACACTTTGGACCATACTGCACACTATAGTTAAGCATGTGGTGGATTACTGGGTTCAGAAAATTCCTCGGAAGATAATCTTAAAGCCTACACAGTATTCCTAATACTTGAAACTAGGAATATTTAATTTTTGCTACAGAACAGTAAGTTTTTTTTTTTTTTTTTTGGCTTTTTCGAGACAGGGTTTTTCTGTGTAGCCCTGGTTATCCTGGAACTCACTCTGTAGACCAGGCTAGCCTCAAACTCTTGAACTCAGAAATCCGCCTGCCTCTGCCTTCCAAGTGCTGGGATTAAAGGCGTGTGCCACCACCGCCCGGCAAACAGTAAGATTTTTATATTTAGCCAACTTCATACCAAGGAAAATGAATGGGAGATAGTAAAGACATCTTATTAACAAAGGTAAATGAATGAAAGACACTAAAGACATCTTGTTAAAGCTTATTAAAATTGCTTTTTATTTCTTTTCATGTGAAGTTTTTGTATTGTGTTGTGAACTCATCAAACAGCCATTTGGGATCGTTCTGACTGTATCCATTTTCATTTTACTAGGGTAGACAAGAGTTTGTATAAACATTACTTTGAGCATCTGTAACTACTGGAGCATAATCTTTTTCGTTGGTTGTTTTTTTTTTGTTTTGTTTTGAGACATAGTCTCAGGCAGCCCAGGCTAGCCTCAGACTCACCCAAGGCTGAACTCTTGGTCTTCCTGCCTCTGTCTCTGGAGTACTAGGATTACAGGTGTGTGCTACCACACCTAAGTGTCTATGTTCCCAGTGTCGGCATTTCCATATACAGTATGATTTAGGACACAAGCTTCTGACCCACAAGCCTGACTCTGAACCCTACCCCCACCTCACTGTATAGGGCCTGGCAAAGCAACACAGCAGAACCCCGCCTTCCTTACAGAGTTCCTGTACAAAGTTCAGGTCAACATACACAGAATTCGTTTGACAACTCTAAGTATTATAAAATAATGTAAGTCAGTAATGTGAGCCAACAAAATAAACTAGTCAGTTAAGCAATGAAGATTATACACTCTCTATTTCTAATCTACTTTGCTAAGACTCGTCTTTGGAAGGCCTTAATTCATTTTAAGGGGGAAAAGAGTCTGAGCTAAATATTAGTGTTCATACAAACAAGATGCAACCACTAATTTAAAAATAGGAGGGTTCCCCCAAGAGTGTACATTCTTTAATAGAACTGTATTTGAGTAAGAATTCCATACAAATAGAATATATGCCTTAACACATGAAAACAAGGAAGAAATATTTTACATTACATAAACCATTTAGGTGATTCAATCAAGCCAACCCTCTCACCAAATACTTGTCTTTTATATTTATTACAGATATTGAAGTCAGGTCTGTATGTGCCAGACTCACAGTTCCAACAGTCACGGGAAGTACACCCGACTGCTTCCATGACAATGGGATGTAGCGTTTGGGTCACAGGCGCTGATGTGAATGGACTCACTGTCTGCTTTTTAGTGTTTCAACTAACCTGGAGAAACAAAGTGCAACAGGTTAACAAAACTAACTCCTACGTATAAAGCATGAATGGTAATAATATTAATTTTACAATGGAGGTAGATTCAAAGCTCTTTAGATTACAAAGATTAATACAGATGAGACGAGAAATACCAAGTATCTATTGATTTTTTTATTTATTCTGCTTTTTCTTTTTTGAGACAAAATCTCAAGTAGCCTATGCTAACTATGAACTCACCAAGTATCCAAAAGTGGCCTTGAATTCCTGACCCTCTTGCCTCTGCCTCCAAAGTGTTGAGATTATAAGCAGGCACAGTCAAATTGAGTGCCAGGTACCTATGTTCTGCTAGTACTACTGGGATGTACATATGCATAGCTCAGAAGTAAAAACTGACCTCTAGTCTCAACAAACTGGAGTCGATACATCCACTGAATAATTATAAACTAAGATAGCAAGCGCTGTGTCACTGGTCTGAGATGAGGGCATAGAACTTCACTTTCGAGGTTAAGTGGTGGGATCACAGATAATACTTGAGAATCTTTTTTTAGATGGAGGAGACTGCAGCACAGTTTCACTATGTAGACTTTGCTGGCCTCAATCTTACTAAGTAGACCAGGCTAGCCTCAAACTCATAGTAATTGTCCAGCATAATCTTCCCGGGTGCTGGAATGTAGTACCACCATGCCTGTCAAGAATCTTGACAAGAAGCAAGCCTTAGTTTAATTTCTGGAAGACTCAGAACTGGATGGGGAGATAAATCAGAGAGCCAGCTTACCTAGTAACTGTAGTCACTGAAAGACACATAAAGACAGTGGGGAAAGGCCGGAGGAGCTGCCCATCAGCTGCTATCTAAATGTCATCCTCAAGAAAACCAGCATCATAGGCCTGATGTGAACACACACTGGTCCTCTACACTAAGGCTGAGTGAAGCAGGAGCTCTCCTGGGCTATATGATAAACTCTTGCCTGTAGGAAGCTTCCCTCGCATGCACGGCTGCCTTCCAACATACAATACTTGCCATTCCATTGCTTCGTCAAGGCCGGTGCCTTTGGTTGCTGACGTTTTAAAGATCTGCCACTTGCGGTCTTTCAGGGCAGGTAGCCCAAGAGCATTTGCCATTTCTGAAGGCGTCATGGCCTGCTCCATGTCCTGCTTATTTGCAAACACCACTAAAATGGCTTTTCTCAGCTCTTCTTCCTAAATAAAATGGAAACAATTTCATTTCCTTTAATTAATTTGCACCCTTGAGTTTGGGGGAAAAATATCAATAAAGAAATTGGGTTGAAGAATGTGTGTTTGTGTGTCCATATTCCTGTAAACAACTCTAATGAAATTCATTGGGTCATTAAAAGAAAAAAAAAGACTTTTAGTGGTGGAAGGAAGGCAAGGTGGGGAGGGAAGTGAGTGGGGAGGGGAGGGAGGGAGGGAGGGAGGCTGGGGAGGGGCGGATGAAGTGGAAGGGGAACAAG